TGTTTCGGTTTTTTGCGGTTTCGTAAAACGATTCTTCGAGTTTTATAAAACGTTTCTTCGAGTTTTATAAAATGATTCTCGAGTTTTATAAAACGATTTTCGAGTTTTATAAAACGNTTTCGTAAAACGATTCTTCGAGTTTTATAAAACGTTTCTTCGAGTTTTATAAAATGATTCTCGAGTTTTATAAAACGATTTTCGAGTTTTATAAAACGATTCTCGAGTTTTATAAAACGATTCTCGAGTTTTATAAAACGATTCTCGAGTTTTATAAAACGATTCTCGAGTTTTATAAAACGATTCTCGAGTTTTATAATACGATTCTCGAGTTTTATAAAACGATTCTCGAGTTTTATAAAACGATTCTCGAGTTTTATAAAACGATTCTCGCGTTTTATAAAACGATTCTCGCGTTTTATAAAACGATTCTCGAGTTTTATAAAACGATTCTTCGAGTTTTATAAAACGATTCTCGAGTTTTATAAAACGATTCTCGAGTTTTATAAAACGTTTCTCGAGTTTTATAAAACGATTCTTCGAGTTTTATAAAACGATTCTTCGAGTTTTATAAAACGATTCTCGAGTTTTATAAAACGATTCTCGAGTTTTATAAAACGATTCTCGAGTTTTATAAAACGATTCTCGAGTTTTTATAAAACGATTCTCGAGTTTTATAAAACGATTCTCGTGTTTTATAAAACGATTCTCGAGTTTCATAAAACGATTCTCGAGTTTTATAAAATGATTCTCGAGTTTCATAAAACGATTCTCGAGTTTTATAAAACGATTCTTCGAGTTTTATAAAATGATTCTCGAGTTTTATAAAACGATTCTCGAGTTTTATAAAACGATCTCTGAGTTCTATAAAACGATTCTCGAGTTTTATAAAAAGATCTTTGGAGTTTTATAAAACGTATTTTTATTTTTACTTTTGCGGAGACTTTTAGCCATTGATTCCGTCGTGACCGATTTTGACACCAACAATGAGCACGTTCCGAAACCTTCCTCTCAGAAGACATGTTAAACAATCAAGAGAGGGAAGAAGATTCAAAGGGAGAAAAAGAGAGAAAACTTCTTGAACCTTAAATAAGTTATGAGAGGAAGTGAGTACAGAACTTGAAAACTTGCTCCATATACTTATAAGAAAAAAGTTTTACTATTCACCTTTGGACTTTTGGCCATTAAGTTCTGACTACCTAATAAACTTGCCGAACAAGTTCGAACAGCTCGTGAGAACTCTACGATTCTTACGAGCTGGGGGGCTAACTGTTGGGGTCAAAATCGGTACAACGGAATCAACGACCAAAACTTGCCGCAAAAATAAAAATACCTTTTATAAAACTCGTAAAGCCGTTTTATAAAATGCTAAGAAATTTCCGAACAAAGGAAATGCGCGGAAAAACTTGGAAATCGTTATTTCGGAAAAATAAACAAAACAAACACCGATTACACGATTGTCCGAGTTAAGCGCAAAACCGCAAAAACCCGCATCTGACGTAAAACCGCGAGCAGATTCGACCAAACCAAGTTCGACGTACGACAAGCCGAACCAACCGGTTCAGCTCGCCGTACGGCGAACCGGTCGGTCCCGGACCAGCTTGCCGTACGGCGAGCTAGGTGGCATCGAGCTAGCTCGCCGTACGGCGAGCTGGTTAGACCAAACTAGCTCGCCGTACGTCGAGCTGACTGTCCCGAGCCTCAACCTCCCACATCCTCGATTCAAGGCATATGTCCTTCGGTTTGATCGTGTTCTAAACCACGGTTGAAACGTTTCTCATTTCGTCTCGATCCGTCTTATCGTTCAAGTTTTACGATAAAAACCGTAAAATCTTGTTTTCTCAAAAGTACTCAAGGAAATCGTATAAAACGGCAATGGTTAAACGAAACACCGAACATTGCCTAACTATCCGATTTACTCGATAATTTTCGTGAAAAATCGTAAAAAAATGCATTTTTAATAAAACCTCGAGTAAATCGTAGAAAACGACAATGATTAACCGAAACATCGAACATTGCCAAACTTTTCGATTAACTCGAGAAACTTATTTAAAAACGTCACCGCATCAGGAAACGATCTCGTATAAGATCGTAAAACGGTATTATCTCAACACGGCTCGAAAAGTCCTAAAACGCGATAAAAGCCTATCTCGTGACTTTAACGAAGTCTAGCCCAAAGATACGACGACGTTTTAACGATTTACTCGCAGAAAGAAGATAAAAGTCAAATTTGAAGAGAAATGTCAAGTTTGAGGATAAATAGAAGATTTCCGCGGGAAAAAAAGGGAAGATAAAGATAAATGGAAGATTCTCGATAAACTCGAATCTACGCGAAATGGAAGGATTAAACCGCAAAACCCAATCAATTCCGGTTAAGATTAAGGGTAATGAGACTGGTCCAGGTGAGATTTTAATTTGATTTCTAACCGGTTTATTTTTTCTGGTTTTTATTTCAATTTCCTTTTTATTTTCAATTTTAGTAATTAAACCCCCCCCCACCCCAACTAAAGATCAGTTTAAAATAAACCTCCAAATAAAAAGCCTACGAAATAAACCTTCAACTTTAATTATGTATTGTCAGTTATCTTTCGTCTAAAATTCGTGACGGAAGGTGACATATGTTAACGGTTTATAATTTATAAGCAGACTTGAAGCGCATTAGTCATCTCACTAGACCATTTGTTATAGTTCACTCATTGAACGTCACTGGCGTAATCATTTCGCCTCGATTATCCGAAGCGTAGAGTTAATACGGTGTCGAACATAAACCCCTTTTTCTTTAGAGGTCGTGCTCTTGGACATAGTGAACTCTTCACCACCAGAAACCATACTTGTGGTATGTACACATCAACCACTGATAAACTTCTAAGTAAGGATTTCAAACTTCAAATCTGCAACCACAAACACAACTTGAGATCTCAGAGTTCGAAACCTTGACGACAAACAATGAAAAACTAAGTCTCCAAAAATTTTCTGCTCTGATACCTTGTAAATCTAGTACTCAATATTCCGAGAAGACTTTCTTAATTACAAACATTGTACAAGGAAATCTATTTATACAAGTTATTGGTAAATATCCTAAACCGACTTGAAATATATCGTAAAAAGATTTGGAATTTCCACAACAGAATTGGTAATTATCATATACTTCCTAATACAACTTCAACTGGGTTTGCACCCTCATGATGATGCTTAATCCTTCTCCCTAAGTCAACAAACCGAAAAACTCTTCCTCGCTGTTCATAGAGGTATACTTCTTGTTGCCATAATCTAGTTTTGTTTCCAAATGCCTCTACATCTCTATAAATGTCATATATCTCTTCTTTCTCGTCTTTGTGTTATTTTTCTCTTCTGATATTACTTCTTCATCGATGCGATTATATCTTCTTCTTCTATTTCCTTCTCACATGTAATTGCATATGTTGCTGCATCAGATATTAAAAAGGGATCTTGTTTGAACCGAGTTCGATCGTGTATCAGTAAAGAGAGTGACAGGACTCGTCAGTGGGTTATTACGAAGGTGAGAACGAGTAAATGTAAAGGAACGAGTTTTATTTACAATCGGGAAAGTACAAAGAGTTCAACCGGTGCTCAGGAGAGCTTAGCCGGAGGTAGTGTACGGACTAATCGGTAAGCAACAGAGGAATTAAGAGAAAAACTCTAGTACAAGTTGCCGCCTAATCATTATATTTTCGGATCCCTTTCTCGTTGTGCCTCCTTTCTCCCTTTATAGCAGATCATTCTCTCTTTTTGACCTAATGCGGTATGCTTTCACGGGCTTTTAATAGTGGACCTTTGCCCGGCTCGTGAAAGTGAAGCTTATTAGCCGTCCGGATGGTGATCGGCTTTTACTCGGCTAAGACAGTCTCGTGCTGAGCCAACTCGTTGGTCATTTATCGGGCTAGTCAAACTATCTTTTAGTGGGCCGAATATGTTCTCTCGTGGGTGTTGATGGAGGGATATAATCCACCTCCTACAGATCTCTTGTGCTTCTCTCTACCATCACCATCTCTTGGATTCGTTCGAGAACCGGATTGATACTTTTATGGAATCCACATACATGACTCAAGATGTGCTTCAAGTGTTCGAAGGCTGATGTGTCAACCTCTCAGTCATTTCAGTTTTCTCAAGACGATAAAAATGCGATTAGACAGTCTAAGTCGATCATACAACTACATATTCGGATCATCTACACTTTTGTTGAATCCCTGCAACAATATGAGGTCAAAATTTACTTAGCTTTTAAAAATGATCGTGATTATCATCATAATACCATATCAATGAAGCCGTAAACGAACTATCACATTTCAAAACAAGAGAAACCTTGAACAGATATGAATTCATTGATCCACAACATCCACTTCTCTGAATCTTCACTGTTAAAGATCGGAACCTAAATTTCCCCATGGACCATGGCCCAACCTCGCTTTGATACTAAATAGATACATGACACATATCAAAAGCAAAAGACCTAGAGAAAAAAAAAAAGTAGAAACTAACGATTGTATTGAGATAACGATTACATGTTTGAGAGCTTTTTTTTTTTTTAACACATACATGTGTGAGAGCTTAATCATGGATATTCGTACCTCGGTTTTAGTCATTCTTTTATGTGACGAAGCATTTCTCAAAATCTCTAAGCTATTTTATTATAGAGCATAATAGTTAACTTAACGAAACCATGATTACTTTTAAGATCGCCTCACTTAACTAAGGTTATTTTGCCACTTGTAGTCAGTACTCCTAATTTGTTTAAATCTCTAGAACCATCGTTTGTATCATAAATTCTTTCAAATTCAGATCGGCAAGTGATAAAGATCATGTGATCGTAAGGGTTATTGAAATTCATACCCGAACATGATGATATTTTTGTAATTTCAAAATAGCTAGTTGAGAACTTAGCAGATGTAAATAAGGGCTAAACTAAGTCACAAGTTTTATGCTTATATATGATCTTGTGTGGTTGGTTTGCATATGCATTTCATGACATGATATGGCATAAAGGCATCACTAATTACAAAGACATTTTCTCAAAAACTCGGAAACTAGAAAAGCTTACAACATTAACATGATCAAACGATGATGTATATCGGATTTGGTCCTCTCAAGGGATCAATTCACCTCTAACAACCAAAGAGTCACAAAGATGGAAAGGGGTAGACTCATCCCTCAGATTTACAACCTAACAACATATATGTGAGCGCATGCATCAAAATCACCAGCTACAACGATCAAAGTATTACAGGCAAGAATACAAAAATCATATATTTCGCATGAGTGAAGAGTCGTTTCACCGTCTTACTAAAAAGCATGGCAGGTGAAACAACCACTAAAGGAAGCCATCTTCTTCTGAAAGATAAAAGTCCTGCCACGTGATGCTCTTGGAGCTCGATTTTCTAACACTGACCTCCTCATCTCCTCTGCTTTCTTCTCTGCTGACTTCACTTTTCTCATTATTTTCGCCATTGACGATGACCTTTTCTTTTCTAACTTCATCTGAAAATAAATGTTAATTCGAAACTGGTTACTCTCTATGAGTGATACATTCAAGCAGTGACTAGTGTTGGTTGTAATTGAGTTTAGTGAACGGGTGCATATGTTATGGGTTGTGACTTTTCGTTAAGAGTTCTAAAGAGAATGAGCTAGACACAACTTTTCATTTGTAATAACATAACTCTTCATTGAAGACATGGAATAAGGAGATGCAAATGTTCACTTTGCAATGTTTCATTTTCTATTTAAACCCTTGTTATTGTGATGTAAAACAATAAGTTCAATTTTCTATTATACTAATAAAATTGAAGTTCTTGTTCCTTAAGTCTGTAGTGATTAGAATCACATAGATTGTGACATAGAAATACTTCTCTTTAAGAGATTCATCTCTTATATTTTGTCTATTCTTGAAACTTCAGTTTCTTTCACAACTACCATGTTGCAAGTGTTTTAATGCCTCAGGTAAAAAAAGTGAAACATGATAAGAGAAAGAACCTCGAGCTTTCTTATTTCTGCCTCTGCCTTAGCTTTCTGCAAATTTTGCCAAGATATGATTCTGGCTTCCTCGGTCTTCGCCCTAGAAAAGTATGAAACTTTTAATCCCAACTCCAAGTCTAGTTCACGTGGATTCAAGGGAAATTATATTAGTTTAACAACTCAGAACATACCATGTCAAGCCTTGAGGATTCCTATCTTCTCCATGTAAGTGGTCCCGCAATTTTGAGCTATCTCCATGGTACAGACCTCTATGCCTCTTTGACCAACGAGTTACAGTTACCTTCTCATCAGCCTGTAAGTCCTTGACTTCTGCTCTGTTGACACGAGCATTCAGTAGTTCGACAATTGATCTTGCTGTCGGAGAGGAGGAAGATAACGAACAATCTCTCTCAGGAGATAAATGGATGCTTCCCTCGGGACTCATCTGTGTGGCCATATCCCTTCTTGAGACAGCTCGAGCATCACCAGCCGAGTCCTTAATACTTTCATGTATGTCATCTGTACACAGAGTTAGATTAGATTCAATACTCGAGGGTAGTTCATTTTTATAGATATGATCTATGTCTAATACCTTGTGGTGTAAGATTTTGAGAGCAGCCATGAATGCTAACTGATCTAGCCATGCAATGATCGCTTCTTTGAGAAAATGCAGCTGCAGTAGAGCCGTTTTGCGGCAACACACGAGTTGAAAACGGAGAGCTTCTGTTCCCATTATGAACCATAGGTATAGCAGGAGAATACAAGGAGTAATACGCAAGTCCTGGAGGACCTAATGGACCACTCTTTGACTTAGGCCTCCGCGACGCTGTAAACGAAGTTCGAGCAGCTTCTTCTCTAGCAAGAGGACTAAGTATCCATCTCTCAGCATCTTCCCACTTGGAAGGAACTGTTCTACCACTATATAAAGGTAAAAACGCAGCGTTTGGTGGACTTCTCCCTAACGCTACACGCTCTGAGCTCCAACCCTTTTGCATATTATAAGTCGGAGTACCAGGACTAGGAAACACGCTCGATTTATTAGTTGAAACTGAACTTCTCTTAACAGTTACAACTCGTGGAGATGAAGAGGTTACATAACTACTACTGAGATCCAATGAAGTAGCTCTTTGGTTGTCTAGCTGTTTCGCCAGAGCCTCAGATCTTGATTTTCTTTCCTGGCATTCTATAAAAGAGTTGAGACTATAGTAAAATAAAACTATGTCTGGTAAAGTATAATAAAACTCACCTCTAAGAGCTATAGAGAAAGAACTTCTTGCTGAGTCAAGATTCTGAATTTCATCTTCTTTGTTGACCATAAACTCTTGTTTCCATGCTTTAAAAAAAAATAAGATTGAAAGTAAATAGTACAACTTAGTTTTTAAAAATTTCCAACAGCATGATTGATTCTCTTTAGGACTATTATTGTAACTTGTCTTATTTCCTCATTTATTATTACCTTTAACTTTAATTGATTTTCTAGAATTGCGACTGTTCTTACAACCTGTTCCACGCTTGTCTGGATCTACCCGTTGATCTCGCTCCTGTCACCTCAAATCATGGGAGCAAAATTAAATTTTTTTTTTTTGCAAGATCTAAAAGTAATAATACACAAGAAACGTTTGTTACTACGGCATTCAATAATGAACAGTGACGAAAATAAGGAACCACTTTTGCATGATTATTTTTTAGTTTGACTCAGTCAAATTAAACGCGTATTCATAATGTCGTTAGTAAAATTAACGAACTCAGATTTACATTTGACGAAGATAGTAATGCGGAAGTACCAGGGAGGGAGCGGAGACAAGAGAGTCGCGGTAGTGAGCGTCGGAGGTTGAAGAGCAGCGATCAACGCTGACGGAGGCGGAGGAAAAGAAGCTAAGATTTGATTCCGGTGTGAAGTTCAAAGAGTCCGGGCTGGAGTCTCGCCGAGATCCTCCGGACGCCGTCGATCTGGACGGCTGCTGTATCTCGGACGGCATTTGAATCTTATGAGATAACTGAGCTCTAGCTATGTAGAGAGAGAGAGAAGAGAGAAATGCTCGTGGGAATCTGGTTTCGTGACTCGTATGGAGCAAGAAAAAGAAATATGATAATGATGTGTCTTTGACTCGAGAGAGAGACTGTCGAGAAAGGGAGGAAAAATACGACTTTTTACACTATTCTTTTTACTCATTTTGAGCTGTCTTTTGGAGCGTGGTAGATTCGATTTTAATCAGTTGCAAGTAATGTTTTTTAACCGACGTGGACTCAACTCGCAAATTTTTTAGGTCACTGAATTTTTTTTTTTTTATTCAATATCAAGTTTTCATTAACCAATTTGGAATACATGAACTAAACTTTAACATAGATTTGACCACACATATAAACGAAATGATCTAGTATCACTACGTAGAGAGATAAAAAGAGAAAGTATGAGAGTGAAAATGATTTTGGATAGTTAGAGAATTTATGTTCATCATGTGGTCTAATTTTCCTTAAATAAAATGTGATCGATAAGAATTTATAAAATGGAGTTTGTGAAATAAACAAAACAAAAAAAATAGATTTGTAGAAAAATGTTAGAAAATTAGATTTGTAGAAAAATGGTAGAAAGAGATAGGACAGAAAAAATGAGTAAGATTAGGTGATTTTGATTAGTTGGTGAATTGAGGTATTTTGAATATTTAGTACAATTACCGTGATAATATAAGATTTTATCTTAAGTGATTTCTTGGGACACTTAGGGCTTGATTGGTAGAGAATTAGCATAAGCATTATGCTCTCTATTACCCAATTATCATTTGTCAAAGAAGCATTCGGAAAAACATTTACTAAATGCTAATGCTCTCCAAATGTTATTTGATCAATGCTCTTCAATGGAGCTTTTGGTAGTCCATTTGCATTTACAATATATAGAAATTTTAAAAATAATTATACATAACTAATTTATTGTAGTTTAATAATACAAAAAAATATTTTTTAACTAAAAATAAATTTATATTTTAAAAATTAAAATAAAATTATAATTAAATATTTTTAAATGATTTAAAAGAACAATATTTCACATTTAAAATATAATATAATTTATATAATTACACATATCATTCATTATTTTTAATAACAAGAATAACATAATATATATTTATATATTATAAATATAAACATATATATATATTAATTATACATTAATAAATAAATTATATGACATATATTAGTTTTTAGGATAATTTTATATATAATCATTTTCTGCTCTATCAATAAATAATAATAATTTATTTAAAAATTATATATAATTTATTTATTTGTTTAATAAAATTAAATATTTTCATCTCCAAAAATAATTTAATATTTTTTAAAAAATTAAATTTTTAGATAATTATATCTTACATATAAACTATAATATAATTTATATAATGAATAAGATTCATTAATTTTAATAACAAATATATAATTAATATATATTATAAATATAGTTTAATATAAATATTTATTTATATTAACTATTATAATAATTTTTAAAATTGTATAGTGCTATTACTTTACCAATCACTTTATTAAAAATTTTACTGAAAGCACACAGCTTCTGCAGCATACAGCTTCTACAGCATACTGCTAATACTTTATCATCTGTCGTACCAATCGAGGCCTTACCCTTTTTATTATATTTTAGATTACTTTTTAATGTCAAGATAGTTTTTGCAATCAAAAGTACAACATAGTCTCTAATTATCTCATTTACTTGGAACACATTTTTTTCTATTTACTTGGACTTTCAACCACAAATACAACAATTTACCATATATTTCCTCTCGCTGTTGTAACAAAAGAATGTTTAGAATTTTATAAAGAGTTATTTTCATCCTATGACAGTTTTAAGATTTTTATTACAAGATAAGACAGTTATTGCTCTTAAGGTAGTTTCTTTCTCTTCTAACTAAATGGACTCCATAATTTTCAATCTCATTTTTCTTATCTGGTTAACAGAAAAATAATTGTAATGACAAAAACTTTTTAATAGAAAATCTGGAAACAATAATCTTAATGGTAAAAGAAGAATAAAATGAAGAAGTTGATAGCTCTTCACTTGAACAAGATGTTGAAAAACAAAATGAGAAATTCTGAGAAATTGAAAAAAAAATCTGGAAACCAAAATAAAGAACACGATCTCAAACAACAATTGCCAAATTTGGAAGAAAAAATGAAGAACACGATCTCAAGCTCGTGGTGATTATGATGCTCGAAATCCCACTACGGTGGTGGTTTTTCAATTGCACAATGAAGCTCAAACAACAATGGTCAAATCTCACAGAAAAATCACATTTTATTTAAATCTGAAAATGAAAATTTATTTATAAATGATAAAGTTACGATCTTGAAGTGTAACCTACAATAAAAATGTAAAAAAATGGAAGATTATGAGAAAGAAATCAATGACGGCCGCAAAAATAGTTGCAGAAAACCCTAAAAATCTAGGAAGACGAAGATATATTTACTAAAATGCCACTCACTAAAAAGTTAAAAATGTGTACACTTTCAACGTACACGTGTACACGAGGTAACCTGTCCATGTATCTTAATGTTAGTATACACGAGTATATTGGGTGACCACATGGATGTGTACATAATGCAGATGATGTGGATGTGTACATAAGTTGTGTATGTAGTTTTGTAGTAGTACATGAGTAAAATGAACAACCTTCATACATTTTAATGTCAAAATACATCTACATGTACAATGATTTACATGTACATAAAATTTGTACAATAATAAATAAACGCTATACATGGTTTCTCTAACAAGGGAAATGTATATTCTGTCCACTCTGATTTTTTCTAGTTCTTGAATCAAAACAAAACATTGATGCTCACAAATCCATCTACAAAGGAAGTTATGATATCTAATGATTTTGCAGAAATTCCTAAAAATCTGGGAAAGACGACGATATATTTACTAAAATGCTACTCATTAAAAAGTTAATAATGTGTGCACTTTCGATATCTTGGTTCACTTTCGACGTACACATGTACACAAGATAACATGTCCATGTATCTTAATGTTAGTGTACACGAGTATATTGGGTGACCACAGGGATGTGTACATGTACAAAACAAAGCATTGATGCTCTACATGTACATGTACAATGATTTACATGTCCACAAATACAATGTTTTATAGAAAATCACATATACAGTAGTTCTTTTGTATATAGCACAAGTTATGATTCGTATAAAAATCACATGAACACTAGAAAACATTATCAATGAGAAATGTCTTCAGTAATATGACTGATAGTCTTAATTGTACACCAAAACAATATGTACACAGATTTGGTGTACATCATCAGTACGTATGTACACAGATTTGCTGTACATCATCAGTAGAAAATCACATCACTAGTTTTTTTGTACACCGCACAAATAACGATTCTTATAAAAATCACATGAACACTAGATGGTACACACATGTCCATCAAAGATAAAATTATTATTATTTTGTGTACTATTTAGTTGTGCATGTTATGTATAGTGTACAATTTAGTTGTGTCAAGATAAAATTATTCTTATAAAAATCACATGAACACCATATGGTACACATGTGTCCATCAAAGATGAAAGTAGTGTACATAACATATGAGTGATTTTAATGATTTTTACAAATACTACATGTACACTTAATTAATAAACATTTACATGTACACTTAGAATGTACACTTGTACACATGTCTACGTGTACACATTTTTTTAATATTAATTCATTAATGGTATTATTGTAATTATTTCATCTTCTTCCTCAACCCTAGTTACGAACTTTGCAGGAAAATTGAGGGTTCTTCAGAATGTCTGAACCTGAAGAGATGACCAGATTGGAGATCTTGCTATCAGAAATGAATACATTCAAATGTCTAGGAACTAGATCTTCAAAAAAATCAAAATTAGCCATTGTTGTTCATCGAACTTTTGCAACGAAGGAAAACGGCGAGATGGAGGAGATGAAAGCGGCGAGATGTAGACGGCGTTGAGAACAAGAAGGAGACGACGAAGGCACGATGAGAAGGAGACGACGAGAAAGATACGACAAAAGCGACGACAAAAAAAAAGGGAAAAGATGAGATGGAGACATAGGTGATCTTGTTGTAGCAGAAGAATGGCTTTTAGACAAGATGATGAAGTTGTAATCATGGATCTTTATCTCTTCAAGTTGAGATTTACCAAAAAATGACTTTCGTAATTTTAGTTTTCTGTGAGCATTAAAAAGAAATAAGAATAAAGTAATTATTTTATTTTGTTTACTTAGGAAGTGACTACTTTAGTTAAAGAAAAAGAGGACTGTAAGGGGTAAAACTCACTCTCTAGTTTAGGTTAGGTTTAGATTGGGAAAAGATAATCGTGGGCTGAATCCTGTTGGAACTTGTATGAATGAATACGTTTGTTTATATTGAGTTTAATGATAAAAGAGTTTACAAGGATGATCTCGACGATCTAATAGAAAGAACAATGATTGATTGAGATGATTAAGAACAAAGTGTATTAGAGTCTTTTTATCTTGAATGAATCGAATCACCTCTCTCTGATCTCTTCTCTTCTTTATATAGCTCTAGGTCACGTCCAACTTCTCCCGGCGAAGCCTCCGAGATTATCTCCATGAGTTGCGGGATTTGCAACAGCTTCCTCTTGACTAAGTCTTGCACGTTCTCCTGGAGCTGTTTCTCGTTAGCTGTTTGTAAACGAGGTCCCGAGTCTTTTGTTCGTGACCTGTTTTNTGCCCCCAGCTTTCGAGATAAGATCTCTTTTCTCGGAAGCTACAGCGTAACCGCCTGACCTCTTGTTCCTCGAGATAATGATTACACTCGAAGATTCGCGTGACCTTAATTCTACGGCCTGGATTTCGTTTGGTTAAATCAACGGTAGGGATTAATATATTTTGAATAATTTCAATCCCGATTTTCGAGGCTGGACGTGGTATAAAGCTGCGGTTATTAACTGCGCTGTTTCTCCACCACCCCACGTCTCGATTTGATTCCCCAGGTAACTGTTCACTTTCTTCTTTAATTTACTGCGGTTATATTTGTTCCCGTTAATA